GGGCGAGAATCGGGCCAAGCAGAAAAATCAAATATGAACAAGTCGATTCGAGTCCAAAGAAAAAATTAGTTGTATGTATAAAAGGAAGAAATTGGGATAAAAAGAATAATGATTCCTTTACAAGAAAATAGTGTAAAGTCCAGAAAAAATATTGCAAATAATTCTGAAAGGAGAGAAGTAGTTTTCGGGTTCACCCTTTTTGTTCTTAGTAGTTGCTGTAATTATTTCATTATCAGGATAAAGGGTGGGGTTCACTGGCAGTATTGCGCCAATATTGCAGATAACTTGAGTTCACTTCCTCCCTTATTACAGCAGCAAGCGGACGGTTTAATTCTCTCACTACCTCTCTCTCTCTCTCTCTCTCTCTCTCTGTGTGTGTGTGTGTGTGTGTGTGTGTGTGTGTGTGTGTGTGGTCGACTCGACTCTGACTCTGCCTGTTTTCGGACAAACACGCGCAAAGAATAAACGCGGTGGTAGCGACAAAATAACCCCGGGGTATTAGTAAACTTAGAATACAACCCAATTACTGACTTCTCCCCCTCCATGATTAAATGAGCAGTTTCTTCTTCTCATTTGGTATTCCATAGTCCATATAAACACTATTGTCTTGACATTTTATATTAATACTTCTGACGAAGCACAGATTCTCTGGACACGAACTTCACCACATTATATTTCTCATCTATAAACAAAATTCTACATTATTATAATTATTAATATCCCAAGGGTGATCATTGCTCTCTGTCACACACACACACACATACACACACACACACACACACACACACACACACACACACACATATATATATATATATATATATATAGAAATTGTAGTATATGGTATCCACCTATGAGAAACGAAAAGCTCTAAAATTCTAGCTTCCTTAAGCTTAGAGTTCAGGAGTTATGGCCTCTTGAAGTTTGCTGTCAGTTTTTACAGATTTTAAATTAGCACGATTTATTAAATGTGGTATTTCATAAGTCTGCATTCTAAGAAGATACTGAGTTGATATCTGGTAGTTACATATTCAAATACACGAAGAAAATAATTCTGTTTCTATTTTATTTCTCGTCTCTGTAGTTTCACAGCCATATGCAGCTTTGTATTTTAAAACAAAATCTTTCTCTTTTTTTTTTTATTAATTTCTATAATGGGCTTACTACGTTTATTTTTGTTCCTTGATTCTAAAAGTATGAAAATAAGCAACATTTTTGGCAATTCCTTTTTTAGATTTAAGAATGGTAAACTGGGACCCTACCTGGATTTGTTATCAGTAGGCGCAATCACAACAAATTAAGGTACGCAGATGACACCCGTGTTGATGGAAAACACAGAAAGAAAACTACCGGACTCTCCTAGAAAAAGTAGTAAAAGAAAGCGAGGTAATTGCAAGAAGACAGAGTGTATGATGTCAGCAAGCAAGAGAGAAAAGCTAATACCCCAACAATGAATTGGAGAAGTCAAAATCAAACTGAAATTTAAATATCGTGGTATTGTTTTAACAGAGAATGTAAAATATGATACCGAAAATCGTAGGCGTATTGGAACAGCAAAAAATACTTTCCAAAATCAATGAAAATACTGCAAAACAGGTTAATTCTGTTAGAAACAAAGAAAAGGGTGTTGACCTGTTAAATGATATCCTACTCCTACGTGGCAATGAATTTTGAACATTTTCCTCACAGATGAAAACGAGATTTGCGGCAACAGAAATGTGGTTCTACAGAAGGATACTGGGAATAATATAAACATAGCATGTAGCGAGGATATTTTAAGAAAAATGGATAGAAAAATGGCACTTATACATAGAATCTAAAAAAAACACCAGTTGCAATTTCTAGGACGCATAATAGGGAATGGATCCTTAGAAAATTTGACGCTCACAGGTTATATCAAAGACAAAACGAACAGTTGGAGGCAACAGGTCATCTACTTGACGTGTTTATGTAAATGAATGACAGAACTGAGAGTGAGAGAGATAGAAAAAAGATAACGCTTATTCAGAACTACAGGAAGTTGTAGAGGGCCATGATCGGCCACGTCTTGAAAAACGGCACATTGAAGAAGAAAAATACGTCAAATGCGACTTCTAAAGTTTATGGAGAAGGCTGTGTGAATAATCAAACGTCTCTAAAGTGGTTTGCAAAATTTTGTGTTACAAATTGATCACTGAAATATCATCTACGATCAGAAGGACCAGTTGTGATTGACAACGAGAAAATGAAAACATTATACACGGGGAATATCTGGCATTCTTAAAATATCCAAAACAAACATATTAATCGCTTTGATACGTGGTTTACAATATAACTTATTGTTGTATCCTAAAAGAGGTTACAAACAGACAAAGTACTCGAGTGGAGGAACAGCAGCACGCGCGTAGATGAAAGAGAGGTTTATTGTAAAAGAGAATACACTACTGAAAGACAGGGAATCGGGTGGCAGGCTAGTAATTCCCGAAGCAAGGATATTTACCTTAAGCTTGACAGGATGTCGAACAAGGCCAAATTTAATGTGGGGTATCCGAGCACGTAGGCTCGGCCAAAATTCCCCTTATGAAACGGGGTCGGGTAGCTGTTTCCCGAGACAAATCTCTGCCCTTCGACATAGCATCGTCTGGGGATCCTCTCTGCCCGGAGGCAGAGTGTTTGCCCATCACAGCGAGACGAAGCTCCAACTCTAGATTAATTCCCGAAGCAAGGTTATTTACTTTAACTCCCCGCGAGGTAGGATGTGGCACAAAGCCGTTTTTTTTAATGCGCGGTTAAACCGAGCTCGTAGGCTTGGTCAAAAATTCCCCGTAGAGCCCGTAAAAACGGGGTGGGGTAGCTGTCTACTACCACAGCCTAGTCTCTAAACTTAGGCATTGCTTCGTCTGGGTTCCTCTCTTCCTGAAGGCAGAGAGTTCGAATACCTTAGCTGGAGACGAATCTCAAACTAATTCCCGAAGCAAGGATATTTACCAACCTCCCCACGCGGTCAGATGTGTCATAAGGCCGAATTTAATGTTGGGTATCCGAGCCCGTATGCTTGTGCAAAAATTCCTCATAGACCCCGTAAAAACGGGGTCGGGTAGCTGTCTACCACCCCAGAATAGTCTCTGTCCTTAGGCATAGCTTCGTCTAGGTTCCTCTCTGCCCGAAGGCAGAGAGTTCGACAAGCATAGCTGGAGACGAATCACTAATTCTCGAAGCACGCCCTTAGGTATATTCTGTGCTCATTATATATAGCTACTGATATAGTCAGCCCACATAGGCGATAGGTAGTATGGGACATTCCATTACAGCAATTATTCATATATTCCGTTGTGTAAATAGATTGTAATGGATAATGCAATGTTGATAATTTACAATATCGAACGGAAAACAAAAGACGTGAGGAAAGTGAAATAATCCAAAAGTAACAGTTCCAAATCGAAGTAAAAATCCAAAGCAGGGTTTGTTATATTATCGGTCTTGACCTCACATCTTGACTTCGATCATTTTCATAGCGCCGTAAAGTGTTTTTTTCTGTGTATTTTCTATAATTATTTTCGTAGTATGTATATATATATATATATATATATATATATATATATATATATATTTATGTATATATATATATATATGTATGTATATATATATATATATATATATGTGTATATATATATATATGTATATATATATATATATATGTGTATGTATATATATATGTATGTATATATATATATATGTGTATGTATATATATATATGTATGTATATATATATATATATGTATATATATATATATATTTATATATATATATGTGTGTATATATATATATGTATGTATATATATATATATATGTGTATGTATATATATATGGTATGTATATATATATATATATATATGTCTATATATATATATATATATATATGTGTGTATATATATATATGTATATATATATATATGTGTATGTATATATATATATATGTGTGTGTGTGTATATATATATATATATATGTATGTATATATATATATATATGTGTATGTATATATATATATATATGTGTATGTATATATATATATATATATGTATGTATATACATATATTTTCTGATGAGATTTACGCTTTGATACCACGCTTGAATTTATACCTAGTACTAGATTGGCAGTTAGGTCTCATCGTTTCACTGTTCAAATAGCTAGATGCAACCGTAAGTACTATTTTAATAGTTTCTTTTCTCGAACTTCTCACCTGGGAAACTCTCTGCCAGCTTCTTGCTTCCATAATTTTTAAACATTTATGTGGAAACATCAATCGCCATCTGTCTTTCTGAATCCAGTTCTTTTATCGCCATTTCTCCTCACCATTGTTTTATTCTCTTTCACTCTCAGTAATCCTTAGCGTCTTAGTGGCATTATCGCCTTACATGGGTTGAACCGATTTAAAAAAAAAAAAAAAAACGTGATGCTGCGTATATGTTGGGACTGGCTCGAAGTCCTCTACTACGATCTACTTCCAGGGAACGAAATATTAATAAATAAACGGGGCATCTACTAAAATTATTACTATTATTACTATTCACTACAGATAACGTTTGAAATGATATTTGTCTGTCTGTGTGTCTGTGTTTCCGCACAAAAATAGAATAAGCAAAAATAGCTGTAAGTGGAAAATTAAATGTTAAGTCAAAAAAGCTAGAGAAAAATAAAACGAAAAGCGACTAACAGGAAGAAGAAAATGATAGAAATAAAAATAAGTTATACGCAAATAAGATATAAACGTGCAGACCTCTTATCTTGATATGAGTCGTTTAACCTCTTTGGGCCAAAATTTAATCTTTTCTTTTTTGGGGGTGGGGAGGATGCAGGAATCACACCTTGCGTTGGAAGGTACGTTGACAATCTTCGACCATCAATGATCATTTCGTTCCCCTGAAATATATATATATATATATGTGTGTGTGTGTGTGTGCGCGTGCGTGTGTGTGTGTGTTTATTTAGTTTTTCGAAAATGTAATATTTTTAAAGAAAATGTCTTCTTTTTTTCGCCTCCTTTCATGTCTATTTTTAACCTATACGTTTTCATTGACTTCTCCACCAAACGACCTACTTACATACGAACGCATGTAACTGAATATAACATTCAACATTCGGTACATCTTCTTTTTCATTATTCTCGTCGTTTGGTTCAATTATTTTAATCTTTTCTATTTAACGTTTTGATAGAGTTGGTTTTTTGCCAATATTTCTTTCCAATATTTATTTCATTTTTTTTTTATTTTCATTATTGTATTATTTTTCATTCCTTATCGTGTTTTCTTTCTTTTTTTGTCTTTTTTCGCTTCCCATTCTTTATCTCTCTCTCTCTATCTATCTATCTATCTATCTATCTCTATCTCTCTATCTCTCTCTCTCTCTCTCTCTCTTTGATGATTTTTATTTCTTTATCGTCCCAGAAAACAAAAATGGTGAGTGGGTGGGTACGAAAATGATGCTGTACCAAACTTACAAGAATGAAGAGTCTTACTTTACAAATTAATCTTCCAAAGCCAAGTTTCTACCTAGGTTTGAACCCAGCCTGCGATATCAGATCTAAGGCGACTGTTTCTTTCTTGTTTTTTTTTTTTTTTTTTGTTTTTTGTGTGTGCGTGCGTGTGTGTCCTTTAGAATCAGGAGAATAGGTAGAAAAGGGTCATGATACCCCAATATACCAAGCGAAACTTTAAAATCAGCATTTCTAATAATTTTCTTACCCGAGAAGGAAACGCAAGTCCTGGTACCGAAGATTTGGGAAAATTATGTACCAAATATGGAAGAATGAGAAAAAAAAACTCTTTACCGTGCAAATTAATGTTCTAAATCCTACTTACTATATGGGATCGAACTTAGAGACTATTGGAAAATAATTGACGTCTGTTTCTGTCTTTTTGCTGTCGTTGTCGTTGTTCTTTTTTCTTATGTTATCACTTTTATATATTTCTTTTTTGTCTATTTTCACTCCGTTAATTTATTTTATAATCATTTATTTCCTTCCCTGCTTTCTTTTTTTTCTTTTTCATTTCTTTTTCTATTGAGAAGAATGACAAAAAGAGAAGATTTATTAAGAGTTACGAAGGACAGAAAATTCTGGAGAGAGATGATCGCCTACGTCATGAAGAGTCATGGCACATGAGGAAGAGAAATGTCCTCCCGAGAAATCCTCTTTCATGTATTTTCCCCTTTTTCTTCCAAACATTCGCTTTTTAAGACATTGAAATCTGAAGGCGTTAAAACAGGCAGGATAATAGAAAGAGCAGGATCATGTTGCGCCAATCTACCAAGGGGTCTTAATGGTCTCAAAAATCAGCATTTCTCATCCGGCCTTTTACCAAGGCGCGAAAACTGACAACTTTTCGTGCTTTTTTCTTTCTTTCTTTCTTTCTTTTTTTCTTTCTTTCTTTCTTTCTTTCTTTCTTTCTTTCTTTCTTTTCTTTTCAACTATTTTCTTTTTTACATTCTTTCTTTATCTTTGTTTGTTTTAGTTTATCGATTTTTCCGTAATTTCTTCTTCCTCTCTTTCTTTTCTCTTTTATCTTCTTTTTCTTCCCGTCTGTTAATTTTGTTCTCTCGATTTTATCATTTCTTCGTCTTTTTCTTCGTTATTCTCTTTTCTTTTACTTTTTTTTCTCCTTCTCTCATTCTTTTTCATATTTCTCGTTTTCTTTCTGTCCTTTCTTTAACTCTCGATTTCATTTTCTTTTTTTTTTTTTTTATGTTTTTTTTTTCACAAACGTTTTCCTAGACTACTTTCGTCCGGTTGACAATCCTCCCAAATATTTTGAACAGGAGTATAGGTTTATCCCTCGTTGCCTGTCTTAGACTGACTTTCCCGTTTCCTCTAAAGTCTTTTTTTATTCTCTTTCAATCCCAGTAGCCTTAGTGGCATTATAATCTTGCTTGGGGTGAATTGATTAAAAATAAAATTTTGTTTATTTATTTATTTATTTCGCTTTTTCGCAGACATTTTTGCATTCTTAGACATTTTATCTTTTCTTTCGCTTTTCTTTTATATTTTATTACTCTGCATTTTTCTTCTTTTTGTCTCCTTTCATATTTCTTTCATTGTTTTCTTTGATTCACTTTCTTTCTTTCTTTCTTTCTTTCGCTTGTTCCCAGACGTATTTTTTACATTCTTAAACATTTTATCTTTTCTTTCTCTTTTCCTTTATATTTTATTACTCTGCATTTTTCTTCTTTTTGTCTCCTTTCATATTTCTTTCATTGTTTTCTTTCATTAGCTGTCTTTCTTTCTTTCATTCTTTCTTTCTTTCTTTCTTTCTTTCATTCTTTTCTGTCGCTCGTTCGCAGAAATTCTTCCTTCACTCTTTCTATTTTTCACTTTTTGTCTTTCTTTTTTCGTCTATTCTACACTGTTTATTTCTTTTCTAATTATTCATTTATTTCCTTCTTTGTTCTTATGCTTTTGGTCTCCTTTCCTATTTCTTTCCTGATGACAACCGTTATCGTTCAATCACCGTTCGATAACCCCGTTATTCTTTAGATGGGGGACCATTTGGTAACACCCGTTACTGTAAACAACCTCCTATACTCTGAAATATATTTCCGGGTTCAGTCAGTTATGTGCCATACTTAATACACGATTAGGCGATCATTTATCTTTCGATACTTTTCAGTTGTTTGCCATTTCGTTTTGCGGTAGACCAGTTGCCATTCAAGGCTATAGAACCCGGTCTGTCCTGCTATTTACCCATAGCTGGGTGGGGGGAAGAAGAGGATTCATACCTTTCCCACGTAATTGAATGTAATGGATTTTTACTGGAATTCGAAATCGGCTCTCCGATTTCTCAATCCGAGCCGCTATCCATTAATCCACCGTGTCTCCACGGCTACCCTAGTGTGACGGCTTAACATCCATTTTAGGGCTATGTAAAACAAAAAAACAAATCAATCTCATTTCTTTCTTTCTTTGATTCATTTCCTCCTTAGTCTCTCCCTTGTTGTTTTTACTCTCTCTCTCTCTCTCTCTCTCTCTCTCTCTCTCTCTTCCATTTACTTTTATCTTCATCGTTTTTTTTTTCTACTCTTGTTTCCTTTGTATGTAACATAACTAGATTCTTTCTTTTTATCTTTTTCTTTGCTGTTCTTGTTTTCTTTCTTTTTTTCTTTTTTTCTTTTTCTTTCTTTCTTTCTTTTTTTTATTTCTTTCTATCTATATTCTCTTACTCTCTTTTTCCTCTTTCTTTCTCTTATCTGTTTGTACAGAAATAAAGCTACAAAAACGTTTACAGCAGGTAGTAAAGGAAAGCTAGAAGAAAGGACTAAACATCAGCCGCAAGAAAACAGAATGCATGGTTGTTAGCAAAAGGGAACAGACCAACATGCAAATTACATATTGGAGATGCCAAAACCAAGATGAAGATGAATTCTAAAAGCCTAAGCAGAGTAACAAGAGACAGAAAAAACTTTGTTAGAAACAAAGAAAAAAGTACTGAACTGTTCTGTGATATCAGTATTCCTATATGGCAATGAATGCTGGACAATCTCCTCACAGATGAAAGAGAGATTTGAAACAAAAGAAATGTGGATCTACAGAAGAGCGCTGAGGATGCCACGGAGAGAACATGTGAGCAACAAACAAAGGAAATAAAAAGGAAACATATTTAATATCAAAAGACAATTGAAATTTCTAGTGAGGAAAGAGGTCTTGGAAAATCTGATACACACAGGACAGATTGAAGACAAGAGGGACAAAGGAAAACAACATTACTTAGTGAGTTTGAGTCAATGGATCACGAGACAAGGTTTAGGAGAAATGATAAAAAAAAAGAAAATTTGTTAAGAGCTACGAAAACAGGAAGTTGTGGAGAGTCATGATCGCCTACGTCTTGAAGGGACACAGCACATAGAGAAGAGAAACGTCTTCCTCTGCATGTATTTTCCCACTTTCCACTAAACGTCCTTTTTTTAACTCTTCCTCTCTCTGTTAATCTCTCTTTTCATTTCTCACCCTTTTTTTCTGCTTATAATGTTTTTTTCGATCTCTCTCTCTCTCTCTCTCTCTCTCTCTCTCTCTATCTATCTATCTATCTATCTATCTATCTCTCATTGGTGCTTTTATTATCTCTTTCCTTTTTCATCTCCCCCTCTCTCACTTCCTCTTTTCTTTTAATATCCTTTTCGCTTTTCACCTCTGTTTCGTTTTTGTTTTCGCAAACTATTGCGTTTGTCTTTCAACCTTCCTTTTCTTCTCTTTCCCTTTTCACCTCTCCCTCTCTCTCCTTGTGTTTACTGTGTTTCTCTTTTAACTCACGCTCTTTCCGTGCTTCTAATGTCTATCTTTTTTTCTTTTTCGTCTCTTCTTTCTTATTTCGTGCTTTTACTACCCATGTCTTTATATTCCATTTTTCTCTTTCTCTCTTTTTCTACCTCTTGGTTTTACTATCTCTATTTTGTCTCGCCGTCTCTCTTTGCTTTTACTGTATTTTCTCTTTGCATCACTCCTTCTCGGCTTCTTATTTTTACTATCTATCGCTTTCTCTTCTCATCTATCACTTTCTCCTTATTACTTTTACTATCTCTTTCTTTTTCTTTTCTCTCTCTCTCTCTCTCTCTCTCTTGCTTTCTCTCTCTTTCCATCTTGCTCCGCTGGCGCCGTGAAAGATTGCAAAGTATTAAATAAATTACACATTTCAAAATTGAACAAAAATAACGACATGAAAAATATTGAAATTTGAATTAACGAAAAAACGCTGCAGGATTAAATAAAATTTTGAAAATCAAATAAAAAAAAATGAATGAAAATGCCACGAAATAAATTACTATAAAGAAAACTCAAAAATAAAATAAATTTTAAATAAAATAAAAAATTCCAACTCGACAAATATCAACATTGACCTAAATAAAATTTCAAATAAAGAAAGAAAAATTTTAATGGAATTAAAAACTGAAAGATGTTAATAATAATGATGATGATTGAACCGGCCTATATAATTTTTTATTCAAAATTTAAAATTGAATTTCTTTCGCTGCTGCGTTTAAAGACATTATGAATCCCCAAGAGAAAGAGAAAATTGATTTTTAAAACTCACAATATTAAAAAAAAAAAAATTTAATTAAATAAATACATTTTTAAGAAATTAAATTTTTTTTCTTTGTCTTTTCTATTTTTGTCTTTTTTTGAACTTGAAAATATTTAAATTGGGAATTTTTAGAAGACGTGTGAAAAGGAAAGAATTCAAAATGCTGTATGAAGAGTGAAGGGGAGGAAGAGAAAAGAGAGAGAGAGAGAGTCTGTGTTGGGGGAGAAGAAAGGATAAAAACAAAGGAAGAAAATAGAGAGGGTGGTAAGTAAATTGAGAACACCATGGAGAGAAAGATCGAGTGAAGAGACAATAAAAGCATTTGGAGGGGAAAAGAGAGTGGAATGTAAAAGAAGGAAAGAATACAAAAGAAATAAAAGAACTAAATATCACAGAGAAAGAAAAATTTGATTATAGGAAGTAATCAACGCACGCACGCACGCATACACATACACAAGAATATATATATATATATATATATATATATATATATATATATATATATATATATATATATATATGATTATTAATAGAATCGAATAATTCATTTAACTTACATATGGATACGCATGTAGGTATGGATAAATAGACGCTTAGAAAGATAGACTGAGTGTGTGCAAAATTCCCAATCTCCTTTTTAAAAGAAACTGAATGGCATTTGAAAAATTGTCTTTCAGAAATAAAAATACTGTAAATTTTCGTCTTATGTCTGTCTATTTGTACGTCTAACTCTCTAACTTACTTCATATATATATATATATATAGATATAGATATAGATATAGAGATAGATAGATAGATAGATAGATAGGTAATATTAGTGGAAAATATACATACATATGCAAAATATATATAAAAAAAAAAATACCCATACATGTATATTTTCAGAAAAAAATTTTCCAAGAGGAAGAATCCAGGTAAAACTCAATGTCTAGGACAGAGTAAGGATATAATAAAAAGGCTTAAACACTAATATTCCAGGGTCATAATTTATTCCATTGGAATCGTAAATACGATCCAAATCATCAGACCTACAAATTCAAAATGAAAACAGAAAAAACAACTCCGGAAATCAAAACAGAATTTAGAGAAAGTGAAATTGGAGATAGACCCCATAAGCATATATATTCTGAAACTTCATTAGCCAGGGTACTTTATATGCCATTTTGATCAGAAGTGCCCCCCCCTACACTGAACCATTTTTCACCTTCGATATAAATTAAATTTAAATTTTAACAAGTGAATGACTCTTAGGCTAATTGGAAAAGTATATTTCATATTTATCAAAGTGGGTCCCCGAGGGATAGAAGCAACCCACACATTTTTTTCGCTTTGCTTTAAATTTGGAGACGAAAATAACTCCTATCAAAAATATAGAAGGAGAAAAGCCAGAAGATGGAGGTCACACCGGCAAGATCAAAATGAGACAACATGGACGTCAATTTGAGCAAGAAATATCCAATCAGTGGGTAGTGCCTTACAATACATATTTGTTGCGACAATTCAAATAACTGTCATATCGTTATTGAAATCTGCTCATCAAGTATTGCATCAAATATATATCAGAGAAGTCAGATCAAGCTATTTTGTCCATTAGTCAGATTAAGATTTGTACCGTTGTATCTTAGAAATTGTTTTATACCGTACTAATGGGTATGTTGCAATCCTCATAAATACCTTGGACACTATTGTAAGTGGAGGTAATATGCTATCTAAGTAGTCCACCACTAGCAGTGGTTTACATATTTCACGCCGCTGGCGAGTATTGTATTTTATTGATGTTATAAAGATTACCGTTTCATTTCAAACCTCCGTTTTGGTTATTACTTATTCAGTAACCCTTTCTAGGTTACAACGGAAATGATTAAAGACATCTGACTGTAATTTTCCGAGGGTTTTTATAACACTATTGGGCTCTACTTTGAACAATAAGAATGTATAATTACTGTCCAAGCTTAGAAAAGAATCTTGTTGAAATAGAACATAAACGAAAACGACATGTTCCTTATTAATTAATTATAGATAAAGATCTGAAGATCCTGAAGGATTGAAATAAATTTCAAATGTGTATATATATATATATATATATATATATATATATATATATATATATATACATTTGTTACACAATAGTCTCAGTTACGGTGGACTGATCATGTCTTGAGAATGTCTGATGACAGGATACCCAAGATCCTAATGTACAGCCAGTTAGATCAGGGCTACAGGAATGTAGAACGCCTATGGCTAAGATACAAAGACAACCTGAAACGCAACTTTTCAGCTGTCAATATACCGCATAACACCCTTGAGCGCTTAGCCTTGGAGCGGGTAGAATGGAGATCAACGTGTTTTAATGGACTCAGCAGTTTTCAATCTGCTTGTCTGAATCATCTTCAAGAAGCGAGAGCAAGATCTAAAAGGTCAGCCAATCTAACAGTGATCTCATCTCACAATCCTCACACTTGATCCATATGTGGCCTCCTTTGTAAATCACTAGCGGGTCTTAAATGCCACAAGATTATCGCACAAAATTTCATAACTGAATCAATAAGCTGTCAGATCCTCATACGTCGAAACCGACGGGAGAGTCCATTATTATTATTATTATTATTATTATTATTATTATTATTATTATATATTTTTAAGCATTACACCCCGAACAAGGCGTGAAGCCACTAGGATGCAGGGGGGTTGCAGAAGATTTGGAGCAAGATCAGATAGGAGTGATAGAAGAAAGGATGAGAAGAAGGATAGTGGATAGATCAAGGTAACTGGAGATGTCGATTGACATTACATTTGAATAGTTGGAGATTGTAGCTCTCAGGGAAACATTAATAGGGAAGGGTGTTCCACAGGCGAGAGGTGCGAGGTATGAAGCTACTGGAGTAGAAGAAACGGCTACATTTAGTAGTTTCGACAGTGAAAGGATAAGAGCGGGATGCCAGCCTCGTAAGGCGCTTGAATTCATGGAGTCTTGGAACCAGTGAAAGCAGCTCATATATATATATATATATATATATATATATATATATATATATATATATGAACCTGGATTACATTTCCAGGTTCATTTTCCAACTCATTCAAAATGTCCCGGTGTAACAATGAGCCTCACAAGTTTCCTGTACGATTTCATTTTCATGTCTTTTTTCACTGCTCTTTGGACTGCCGTGGGTGAAACTCCACTCTCACGTGCCAAACGACTTCTGAATTGAGTTGGTTCCTTTTTAATCGATCTCTTTAGCTTTAAGTTGATATGATAATCCCTCTTCCTGTCGTGGCCAGCTATTCTGATTCAGTTATCCTCTCTACTGTCCCTTCTTTTTTTCTAAACTTATTCACCGTTCTATTGATGGTTTTTGAATGGAATTTGAAGATGGAAGCCAAAGTATGAATGTTGGTACCATTACCGAAGACCTCAATGATCTTTTTCCTCTCAACATTGCTCATTTGTGAAGACAGTGCTGTTGACACAAAATGATTTTAACCTGCACTACTTCTAGCTGAATAACTCAAAGGGTTTTCAGTGTTTCTTACAACAAATCGTGTCAAGATGGTTAAACGTCTTATTTGAAAACCTGGAAAAAGAGGAACTCAATTAGTTAAATCTTTTTTATTTTATTTTTTCTTTTAAATATTAAACATCTTATGGGAAAGACAAATATGCTATTACACGATTTGAACAATTTTGCTGATACATCCAGTATAGATAGATAGATAGATAGATAGATAGATAGATAGATAGATAGATAGATATGGTTGGTCTGTGATAGATAGATAGATAGATAGATAGATAGATGAATATAGATAGATAGATAGATAGATAGATATGGTGGTCTGTGATAGATAGATAGAGAGATAGATAGATAGATAGATAGATAGATAGATAGATATGGTTGGTCTGAGATAGATAGATAGAGATAGATAGATAGATAGATAGATAGATAGATATGGTTGGTCTGAGATAGATAGATAGATAGATAGATAGATAGATAGATAGATAGATAGATAGATAGATAGATATGGTTGGTCTGAGATAGATAGATATAGATAGATAGATAGATAGATAGATAGATAGATAGATAGATAGATAGATATGGTTGGTCTGAGATAGATATAGATAGATAGATAGATAGATAGATAGATAGATAGATAGATAGATAGATATGAGATAGATAGATAGATAGATAGATAGATAGATAGATAGATATGGCTGGTCTGTGATAGATAGATAGATAGATAGATAGATAGATAGATAGATAGATAGATATGGTTGGTCTGAGATAGATAGATAGATAGATAGATAGATAGATAGATAGATAGATAGATAGATAGATAGATAGATAGATAGATATGGTTGGTCTGAGATAGATAGATAGATAGATAGATAGATAGATAGATAGATAGATAGATAGATATGGCTGGTCTGATAGATAGATAGATAGATAGATAGATAGATGATAGATCCGAGATAGATAGATAGATAGATAGATAGATAGATAGATAGATAGATAGATAGATAGATGATAGATATATAGTATAATTAAATATTTTAGACGTATGAAATGTAAAAAGATAGA